AACTGTTGGGTGGCATTGACTGAGTGGCTGCTGCATATGAGACCTCCCTCTACTTTGCCTATCCTGACTCCATGGGGAGATTCTCACCCCACTGGTGCCTCCTTCTCCTTCACAGGGCCCCTTAGTCAGTTTACCCCTCATTGATGGAGTGGGTCTGTCAGTCACCTCCTCCTGCAGCAGCCATAGGGACCCTCGGTCACCCAAATGGCTAGGCATTGGCTTATGGACTCTGCTCTTGTTCTTCTGGTTGTAGTCCATCATTGAGCTCTGGGGACTCATTCCATTCTGGTGTGAAAGCTGGTGCCTTTGGGGGCTGCCCTCTCTCTGGGCCCCAGACATCCATTGGCTCCCCTCCCCTCCTTCTACTTAGCATCAGTTGTGGCCAGACAGTGTGAGCTGTCCAGCTAAGGCTCCTCTGCCATCCTGTACTCCCAGCAACAAAGACCCTGTCCCACAGGAGGTTCTGACATCAGCATCTACCTTTCCCCATTGCTTCTTACGCAAAGCATGACCAACCATTACCAACCAGCTGCTCCCAGGAAGTGCTCGAGGGGCCCTGGTGGGCCTAGGAATATCTGTGTGTCCAGTTAGGACCCCCTTGCAATCATTGCTCTGGATTTGGAGTGAGAGGTGAGAGAGAAGGCATGGCAGGACCAGGCGTGGAGTTCACTCTCCCTGAGCTCCACTAGACCGTCGGAGCTTTGGGGGCCTGCTTATGCTTGTGTTTCCTAGCAGCAAGCACAGTGCAACAGCAGGTCTCCAGTACCCGCCCCCACCCCCACGCTCCACGTCCACGAGGGACAATCAGATTCCCCTGAGCTGGGCTGGGCTGGGGAGCAGATTTACAAGGAAGTAACCCTGCTGTGCGCCAGGCAGCAAGAAGGACTAGCATTCCTGATCACCTAACATGACCAGTTGTATACATGAATTTGTACTCATTGCTCATCTAGGATGTGTCACGTGGTGGGATTTGGCCGGGTCAGTGAGTGTAGACTAGTACTTACTAAGCACCTACTGTGTGTCCTAATGTATTAAATGTATTAAAATTGGGACTGTGAGATTCTAGTTCTGAACAGAGAAACTATGGGTGCCCTTCTTTGGCTACAAGTAACGAAACCAACTCCAGCCAGTTTAAGCAAAAAGGGAGAGTTATTATCTGGCTGTGGGGGTCTCATGGAATCTCAAGGCAGAGACACAGCCAGGCCTCAAGAAGGACATGACCCGGGGCCTGGGACACTGCTGGAACCCCCTCTCCCTCTCTTGTCCTTGCCCCTCTCTGCAGACCAGCTTCCCGTTGCCAGTTCAGCGAGCAGAAGGGTACCTTAGCATCTCATTAGTAGGAACCCCAAGGCTGAAGTGGAATCTCTAGTCTGATTTTAAATTGTGAAAGAGAGTATTTTTGGCCTAGCTTGAGTCTGGGGCTACCTCTATCCAATCAACCATACCCCTCGGGGTGGGTCACAAAATAGAATCCTGGCTGCTGGTGTTCTTCCCTGCAGTGAAGTTGGTCATTGTGAGCAGGCAGATACTCCAGAAGATGTCTGTCTTGGGTATCTGTCACTCGTGGAGCGTGGGGGTGGGGGCGGGTACTGGAGACCTGCTGTTGCACTGTGCTTGCTGCCGGGTGCCATTCTCCAGATGCCCTTCTGGGTGGCAGGGGCAGGGCCTCTTTTGCTCACTGGGTCTCCAGCACCTGGCACAATACCTGGTCCAGAGAAGGGAAATAGTAAATGCTTGCTGGATGAATTGGTTATATTATTCAATCCCCCCCACACACAACTGTTTAGACTAAGTACTGTTGTCCCCATTTGACAAAGGAAGAGACTGAGACACATAGAGGTTAAGCTGTTTTTCTAAGGCTACTCAGCTAGAACCGGGACTTGAAACTTCAGGGTCAGTCTAGCTCCAAAGCCAGTGCTCTTTCGACCATTCATTCACTCATTCACCAAGCTTTCCCTGAGCACACGTTGGATGCCAGGCCTGTTCCAGGAGCTAGGATACATTGTGAACTTCATGAAGCTTGTGTTCTAGGGGGGCAGATAGACAATATTCCAGATAGATAAGAAAACTATATAGCATATTAAACAGTGATAAGTGCTAAGGAGAAACATAAGAGAATAAAGAAAAACAAAGAAATAAGGGTGGGGGGATAGGAAGTATTGGGGAAGGTTGTGATTTCAGGGCAGCCGGAAGGTCTCACTGAGCAGGTGACGTTGAGCACATTCCTGAAGGTGAGAGAGGGAGCCTTGTGGGACAAAAGCAGTCCAGGCAGAAGGAACAGCCAGTGCAAAGGCTCTGAGCAAGAGCAAGTGATGGGGGAACAACAGGGGATGAGGTCAGAGGGCCTTAGAGACCATGGGAGGACTTTGGTTGTTTGTCTAGGTAAGACTGGAGGGACTCAAGCATGGCAGTGACATTACCCTCTCTACCTTAAAACAGGATCACTCCAGCCGTTGGGCTGGGAATAGTCTGAGTGGGAACATGGCAGAAGCAGAAACTGGGCCCCAGGGCCTCTCTGTCTCCCGCCAATATTTCCACTGTCTGATGGCCATCTAATTGATCAGCTGGAATCCACACCTTGCGCTCTGTGCCCACTGCCGCCGCCCCCTCCTGGCCTTCATTACTGCCCATCTGAGCTGCCCCAACAGCCTCTGCTTTGGGGACAGAGTTCAACAGCCCTGCGAGGAGGCTGCCTGTCTCTTTAACTCCAAGTTATTTGATAAGACCAAGAACAAAAGCTCGCCCAATCAATGTTTAAACTGAGGATACTTTTAGGCTTTGTTCCCCCAACCCAAAAATTTCCCTTCAAAACCCCCAGGGGAAAGGACGGAAAATCTCATGAGCTGCCTTGCCCAGCTCTCCCTAGGGCAACTGGACCATGAGTCTGGCTAGGACCGGCCCCTCCATGGGACCAGGAGGATAAATAAATGTTAGACATGTGCAAGAGAAATATACAGCCAGTGAGCCCTGTCAGGCCCACTGCTCCCCTGCTCCTCCCAGGTCAGGAGACACCTTTATACTGCTTTGCAAAGTGGCAAACCCACATGATTGTCTCCAAGATCCAACCTGCCTCACAGCGGTCAGCCTGCCCTAACTTTTCCTTGAGGGAAAGAACCATCTAGAGCTGCACTGTCCAGTAAGGGAACCGTGAGCCACGTGTGGCAATTGAGCATTTAAAATGTGGCTAGTCTGAACTGAGATGCACTGTAGGAATAAAATACACAACAAATTTTCAAGACTTCATACAAAATAAAAGACTGAAAGAGCCCATTAATCACTTGTATATTAAAAAGAAAATATTCGGGGGTTAAATAAAAATTTTAATATATTAATTTCACCTGTTTCCTTTTACTTTTTTAATGTGGCTATTGGAAGATTTTAAATTACATACGTGGCACATGTTATATTTCTGTTGGACAAGCTGCTCTAGAGTGTTGATCAGCCCCCAGTCAGCTCCACAGAACAAAGCAGAGAGAAGCACAGACCAGTCAAGCATAATTATTTTGTGGGCTAATAATGAGAAGATAACTTTGATTTTGTTTTTCTTGTCTATTTCATATACATCAGAAGGAGAGAGAGCAAGAGGCATTATAAGGGGCTCAATGCAGGAGACGAGTACACCTCTACCTATAACCACCTACAATGAGCCCCCCGTTCGCCATCCAGAGTACGTGTGATGTGTGGTGTCAGATTCGCTTATTAAAAGCAGAGCCCTGACCTGTCCCTGTTATATTTCGGAAGCCTCCATGGGCATCCCATATGAGTCCAAATGCCTCACCGTGGCATTCAAGGCCCTGTGCAACCTGAGCCAAACTTGTCTTTCTAGCTTCATCTCACACGCTCCCTGCTCAAAACCTCGACACCTGTCAGTTCACACGTTCGTTCATTCAACAAATATATATTGATTACTTGCCATGTGCCAGGCACAGTGCTGGCTGCTGAGGGCACGATGGTTAGCAAAATGAGCCCTAAACCTATACCTGTTGGGGAGTACACATCTAGTGGGAGTGACAGGTAAGTCAGTAGGGCAATTACAGCACTTGCAGTAAGAGCAGTTGTGGGGGAAGCACAGGGGCCATGGGAGCACCAAAGAGGCACCTAAGCCAGCCTGGAGGTCAGGAAGGGCTTCCTGGGGGAGGTGACATCTCAGTTGAAGAATTTGAGTTGACCAGACTGAGGCTGGGGGGTGGTAAATATCTCAGGCAGAGGGTACTCTGAGTTCAAAAACCGACCAGAAGGGCAGAGCAGAGGACAGAGCGTGCAGAACTGAAGACATGCATCCTAGCTGGAGGGCAGGGGCCAGTGGCAAATGACTAGCACGGTGTAGATGGCAGGGGCTTTGTGAGCCCTGTGAAGGAGTGTGGCATTTATTCTGCAAGTGTTTTAAGCAAGGGAGCTCCATTTCCCACCTTAGGTGCCTTTACCCCTCTTCCTGGTGTGCTCAAATCCCACCTCCCCCAGCAGAATTCAGGCCAGTGGGGCAGCACCCCCACCCCACCCCACCCCACCCCTGTCAGGCCCGTGGGGCTGTGAAGGAGAGGAGCTAGGGGCTTTCCCCTGGCGGTTCCAGCCAGAGGAAAGCGCCAAGGGATGGAGGCACTGGGGCTGGGTTTGGGGATCAGCTGGTGTTGGAATTTGGGGCTGAGGCAGGGTTTGAGTTGGGATTTGGGATTTGGAGGTGGATTCAGGAACAGGAGGCAAGGCTGGCACTGAGGGGGAGGGGGAGGTCTGGGACATAATTCCAGAATTTGGAGCTGGGGTTTCAAGCCAGACTTGGGGTTGGGCTTTGGAGCTGGGACTGGAATTGGATTTGAGATTCAGGGGTGGGGCTGAGATGTGGGGTAGGGGCTGGGCTGGGGTTAGGTTTGGGGCTGGAGCTGGGGGATGCGTTAGGGCCCAGGCACTGGGCAGTAGACAGCAGTCCTCCTGCTGCCCAGGTCTGGGAATTGTGCTCGAGCCCTGGCAGCAGCTGAGAGAAGCCCCTCCCTTCCCAGAAATGCCACTGCCCCACAAAAGGAGCAGTGCCACATCAGCCAATCAGCTCAAGCCCTGCCTTGGAAACACCTGTTGATCCCCCTCCCCCCCAGGGCTCACCTGGGTGCAGGTTAGGCAGGTGAAGCGCTCGCCCAGAAACAGAGCTGGAGCGCCCCACCGGCCCGGCCCTGCCTGCTCAGATCGGATCCAGCACTTCCAGGCTTCTTGTGAGTGCCCCCAAGTCCCCCTACCCCCTCCACCCCCACCTTCTCCCACTGGCTCTTTCTGAGAGCCTCCACCCCACCCCCGGCCTGGCTCCACTGTCCCGCACGCCCATGGAAGCGCTTTCAGACCAGTGAAGTCACAGCTCTAGGGAATGCTGGGACTGACTCCAGGCCCCGCCCACGGCCCCTCCCCAGCCTCCCTTGGGGGCTTCTGCACCTGCTCCTCCCACCTCGCGTGCGGGCCGCCCCTGCAGAGGGATTGTAGAGGACGGATACCTCACCAGGGGTGTAACCCATGTACAGCCACGTAGTCATATTCCTGGAATGATCCAGGGCCTGCGTCCTATGTATAAGCAGGTGTTTCGTCCTGAATCGGAGGGGAGAACATTGTGTTCTTTTACTCAAAAAGCATTCTTTGGGCATCTATGCAGGCTATAGAATTCCCATTGGAATTCTGAAATGGAGATATCAAATGACCTGCCCCCATCCCTCAAGATAAATGTTATTGTCCTCACTTTCAGATGAGGCGCCTGAGGCTCTAAGAGGTAAACACACGGGGGCTTCTCTGACCCTCCCCCAAGCCCCTCTTCTGACTAACCCACCCAGGGCATTTGTCACAGGAACGCAGCTGCTGTAAACTGGGGCTCCTTGAGGGCAGGGACCGCTGCTGCCTTATTTTGCCCAGTGTGAGTCATCTGACTGGCCTCTAGAGGACATGTTCAATGAGTAACCACTGGGCAGTAACCCCACTGCCCAAGTTCCCCTGGGCAGTAGGGATGGCAGCTGGGGTCACATCCAGAGCCCTGCTTTCCCTTTGCACCACTTTAGAGAAACTGTGGAGGAGGATGGCATGGAGGGTGCATGGTGAGAGGGAGAAGAGGGGAGGCAGGGAGAGCAGTGAGGAGGTGGGGAGCGAGGCGAAGAGGGAGGGCTGTAGGGATGGGGGCAGGGAATGATGGAGAAATGTTTAGAGGTGGCCTCCCCGGATGTGCATAAGTGAGGAATACAAGAGGAGAAGCAGGTTTGGGGTAAGATGACGGGCTTGGGTTGGGACCTGTTGCATCAGAGGCGACTTTGGGACATCAAGGTGACAATTCGCTTATGGGTCTAGAGCTCGGGAGGGAGATCCAGGTTGAAAGAGGGAGAGATTGGGGAAACAGCAGCAAAGGCTGTGAGATTAGATGGGGCGTTAGGGGAGGGAGGATGTTAGGGGTCAGATCCTAACCCACAGAGAAGGAGCCACAGCCCTAAGAGAGAAGATTCACAGTCGCTGATGGATCCAGAAGGGTTAAGTCGTAAGCCCCCTCCCTCCCCACAATCCTCCTCCCCTAGGAGCCAGCGGTGACAGCTGAGGCCACGTGAGTTGGATCCTGAATGAGGCTTTATCTCTGGCTCTTCATCTCCTTGGCCACCGTGGCTCCAGCTCCCTTGGCCAGCCGGGATGGGACAGGCAACTGAGAGAGCCGGAGCCAGAGAGGTCAGGGGCTGGGCAAGGGGGTTCCCTGGAGTGGGGGAGGGGGGGGCTTCATGTGGGGGGAACTCTCCTGGGGTATTGGAGAGGCATTCCCAAGGGGCAGTGCTGGGGAGAGGGCTTTCCTGGGGGGATTCCAGGGAGCATGGGAAGATTCCCGGGGATCATCCCCAAAGCTCCCAGGAGAGAACATGGGGGGCAGATAACATAACAACTGTTATCTCCTCCCTGCAGGTGATGGTGACCATATGCTGGACCGGGAGAGAAACAGGACTCTGGGCCTCTGGCTGCCAAGCAGGTGGTGGGGGCTCCAGGCTGTGATCCGTACCCTCTAACCCCTGAGGCCACCCTCTGCCCTGACTCATGCCAGACCCAGCCATGTCTGCCCGAGAGGCTGGAGCCCCGCTGGGCGAGGGGCTGCCCCCAGATGTGCTGGCAGAGCAGGTGGAGTTATGGTGGTCCCAGCAGCCACGGCGCTCAGCACTCTGCTTTGCCGTGGCCGTGGGCCTCGTGGCAGGCTGTGGGACGGGTGGTGTGGCACTGCTCTCTTCCACCAGCAGCCGCTCAGGTGAGTGGCGGCTGGCAGCAGGCACTGTGCTCTGCCTGCTGGCCCTGCTGGTTCTGGTTAAGCAGCTGATGAGCTCAGCCGTGCAGGACATGAACTGCGTACGCCAGCCCCACCATGTGGCCCTGCTACGCAGTGGTGGAGGTGCTGATGCCCTCGTGGTGCTGCTTAGTGGCCTTGTGCTGCTGGTCACTGGCTTGACGCTGGCTGGGCTGGCCGCCACCCCTGCCCCTGCCCGGCCGCTGGCTGCCATGCTGTCTGTGGGCATCGCCCTGGCTGCCTCAGGCTCGCTCCTGCTACTAGGCTTGCTGCTGTACCAGGTGGGCGTGAGTGGACACTGCCCCCCGATCCGTGCTGCCCCTCCCGCCACCCACAGTGACCACAGTGGCAGTGGCAGCATCTTCAGCATCTCAGGACGGTTGTCTGCTGGCCAGCGACATGAGACCACATCCAGCATTGCCAGCCTCATCTGATCAAGTCAGAGTCCTCTTTCCCACGACCCACCCCTGCAGCCACAGAACTGTGCCAGGGCATGCGTGAGTGTGCGAGTGTGAGTGAGTGTGTGTGTGCACGCACGCACACGGGGGATAGTGAGTGTATGTGAGTGTGTACATGTCCCTAGGACTGTTCGGCCCTCCTGGGGGACGTGTGATGAAGAGCCTGTGTGTACCGGCACATCCACACCCCGGGAGAGTGAGTATGTTTCTCCTTGGAACTGGGGGTTTGTGTCCATGGAACTGTCAGAGTCCGCCTGTCTGTGTCTGGGGTCTCTAGGCAGAGAAGGATCTGGGATCCCTGAAGATTCTCGGCCCCTATGCCCAACACCCCTGAAAGCCAGCTCTGCCCTGTGACACCTGTCAGGGGTTTCCACAGGAGTGCGCCAGTGAGTCTCCCTCCATGAGGAGAGTGAGTAGTGGCAGAGTGGAGAGAATATACAAGAGTGGAGTGGGACGGGCCTGGATTGGAACCCCCCCTCCACCACTTACCCACCAGGGGACTTGGGCAAATGACTTAACCTCTCTGAGCCTCAGTTTCTTGAGAGCCGTGGTCATGGTCGTGGTAATCGATTGTGAGAATTAAATGACGTCATGTGTGGAAGGACTGGGCACATGACAGATGTGCAATAAAGTGGTGGCTGCTGCTGTTGTTACTGTCTTTACCTCCCCGTCTCACCCGGAGACCCTTCCTTACCCCTTCCCCCACACCCACCCCTTCCAAAGTGAACACTTTGTGCCTGTCTCAGGCTGACAGAAGGTGCCTTGGAGGTGTCCTCAGTCAGGCCTGTGGTTTCTCCTCTTGGGTACTAAGAAGCTGGAGGGGAGATGGGGCAAGGAAATGCTCAGCCTCAGGAAGGTGGTGGGTTTCTGCTCTGGGAGGGGGCGGTCCTGAGTCCTTCGCATTTGCTCATGTGCTGGTTCAAGGTGAGGCCTCCAGTATTGGGGTTTTATCAGCTGGTTTCTTTAGAGGCTGTGGCTTCCCCCCCACCTCTGAAACCAGAACATCCTGGCCTGTGTAGTTGCTGCTCCAGCTGGCCTGCCTCTGGGTTCCCAGGCATGGGAGGGGTGGTTGAAACCCCGTCTGGGCGGTAAGAGTCACTTCCTGCTTGGGGTCAGCCCTGGATGGGATTTCCCCTTCTGTAGTGCAGGGACACTTCCTGGGTGGCAGAGGTGACGTTCCACTGGAAGAGTGCTCAAGGGCACTGGTTGGCATTCACCCCTTCCCGCTTCGCGAGGTACAGATTACATGGAGCCCGGCGGAGGACACCAAGGGGGCAGGGAAGCCAGACGTGTCTCCTAAGAGGTGCTAAGCTAGAACTACAGAGCTCTGACAAGAGAAAATTGCTTTCAGCTGCCAAGATCAAGGCAGTCTCCTGGAGAAAAAGCTGATGGGTGAGGGGAAGGATGTTGCCAATGCAGGGAGGGAGCCACATGAGCAGGAAGAACAGCGCCTGCCCAGGAGCACCGGGTTTTCCATGGGCTCCTCAGACTCCACACATTCAGAATGGAAGCCCTCTTCTCTGTCTTGAACCAGCTCCTCCATCTCACCTACACTTAAGCCAGAGTGACTGTCCTAGAACGAAAATGGAAATTTACCCTAAAATCCTTCCGTGGCCCCCACGTCTTGCAGGCTAATATGCAGCCTCCCTAACGTGATTTGGCCTCCCTCTCCTCTCAAAGCACCCCACGAGCCAGCCACGCTGAGCTGTTGTGTGATCTCACCACATTGTCTCACTTCGCCCAGCCTTTTTAGTTCTCTTTGCCATCAAGACCCAGTGCTCTAGGGAGCCACAGCCTCTGGAGAGTCTTCTCTGACCCTTTCCCCCTAAACTAGCGAGTTGCCCCTTTTCTATGCCCAAACCCTCTTGTAGACGCCAGTCCACAGTTCTTTCTGTGTGTGCCTGTCTCCTTAATCAGCTGGTGAGCGCCTCCTGGCAGGGTTGGGTCTTGCTCACCTGTGTGTCCCTAGTTCCTGAGCCTGACACATGGTAGGTGCTTTGTTGGATGGATGAAGGACTTGGCTTGGTTGGATGGCAATGTGTGTCCAAGGATCGTGGAGAGACCCACCTATAATTGGGAAGGGTAGGAAAGTCCAGTGCTTGCCCTGAATCTTTCCCTCCTGAGGCCCTGCACTGTCTGCCACAGAAATACTCCCTCTTCCTGAGTTCCCAAGAGGGAGCTGTGGTCATCACCAACTTCAGGGCCATTAGAGGACCTCAGAACCCTCTCTACCTGTAACATGCGGAGAACTCCTGTTTCCTTTTAGCTGAGGCAGGGTTAGACTCTCACAATATTTCCTTTAAGAAACTAAAGGAAAATGAACACAGAGGCCTGGAAAATGGGCAGGGAAGGGTGACGTGGCACAAATGCCTGGGTGACAGCTACTGTAGGCAAGACCTGTGTCAGGCTCTCCTGGGAAGGACACCAGATGAAGAATATGGTTCGCGCCCGTTCCAAAGGGCAGGGGAAGGGCACGTACACCCTATAACATGAGACAGGATGGTAAGAGCTGGGTGGAGGCACAGGCAGGGCTGAAATGCTGCTACTTCCTCAATCACTGAAGCCAACCCTGCAACCTCCTGCCTCCAGCTCGTTTGCTCAAAGCATCTCACTAAACCTCATCTCGGTCCACATTGCAACCAGCCGTCCACTGGCTCCGCTGCTGGCTCTCTCTAAAGTTGCTCCCTCCTGTCTTCATCTCCCTTCTGGTTAAGACTCTGTGACCCACCATCTCACTCACTCCTTGACAGAGCCCTCAACTCCTTAGCCCCCTGCCCTTTGGTCCCACCCTGCCAGCAAACCCCGCTCCGTGGATGAACCCACCCATCTGCCTTCACTGCACCTGCCAGCTCGCAGTGAGCAGTTATTAGAGAAATCCACACGGCCAGGCAGCCTGTGTCACCGTGACCTCCTCATCACCAATCTCCACCAGGTCCGCAGTGCTGTTTGTCAGTTACGCTGTTTCCCTGGTCAGCTCCTGCTCCTCCAGTGACCCTCAAGTTCTGTCCTCTCCCCCACACCCCAGCATCACCCACTCCACACTCCCAGCACCACTCTCTGTAGACCACTTGGCCTCTCACATCATCAGAAAATGAAGTCACGTGGTGGGAAGCCTTCACTTTACTCCCACCAAGTCACTCCTCCTGTCTCCTGTCTGTCAAGTGGCCTTGTCAGCCCAACTGAGGAATTTGGACTCTGTCCTCAGGACAATGAGAAACATGCAAAGATTTTAATCAGGGAAGTACTCTGGCCAGAATAGGATTTGGGACTCACTGACTGCAGTCTGGAGCTGGGGATTGGCCTTAGGAGAAAAAGAATAAGAAGAAATGGCCAAACAGCCCAAGAAGTGCCGTCAGAGCTGGCCCTGAGGGATGAGAAGCAACTGGCCAAGCTAGAGAGGTTGGGAAGAAAGAATATCCCAGAAAGATGCAAGAGCAGCAGAAGGATACAGAGATGAGCGAGCTTGGCTCCTCAAGGAAACACGAAGGGTTGGTGTGGCTGGAACATGGAGGACCTGCTGGCAAGAGGCAAGGGGTGCAGCCAAGGAGGAGCCCTGGGCCAGTCCTGGGCTTCAGAGGCTCCCTAGCAGGTGGCATAGTTTCTTAAGGCCATGGGGAAGCCAGTAAAGGATTACAAGCAGAGGAATGGCCTGGTCTGAATTGTGTTTTAGGACAATCATTCTGCCTGCAGCATAGAGAATTAATTGGAGGGACAAGAATGGAGGTGGAGAAATCAGTTGGTTGATTAATGCCATCTCCAGACGCGAGATGGTGGGGCTTAGACAAGGGGGTGGCTGTTAGGACAGAGTGAAACAGAACAGATTCAATGGATGCTCAGAAGGTGGGACCAACAGGTCTTTGTGACTGGAGGAGATTTTTAAAATGGAAGAGATGTGATGGGTTAATGTTGATTGATAGAGAAGTTTAAGATACAAGGTAGAGAAGAGGCCATTTTTAAAATCCTTAGGTGGAGAGGCAAGGAGGCTGGATCCAGGACACAAGATGGAGGGTTTGGGCTTACAATGCCATTTTGAAAAGAAAAGGAAGAATGGACATAAGTGAGTTTGTGGGTTTTGTAGCAGGAAGTTGAGGGAGGCCCTGACCAACAATTATTCTCTCTGTGAGGCAGAGGCCATTTTAAAGAGCCACTATGGAGAATGGGAGAGGGATCTGACCAAGCAAACAGCAAGATTGCCAGAAGCTTTGAGAGCCCATGGGAGGCTGGAGACCAGGCATTAACAGAGGCACCAGCCTGGGCAATGGTGGGGTTTTCTCAACAGCCACAGAGGCCAGGATGCAGGTCTCAGGTTGGAGTTTCACTCGGAGGGTACAGTGGTGAGGCAAGGGGGCAGGTAAGTTGAGGATATTGGCAAGAGAGAGGTTGAAATAATGGACCCTGAAATCTAGACTGGTGATGCATGAAAAGACAAGACAGCTGATGGCGAGACAGAGTAGAGTGGTCTGGACCTAGAGGCTCCCATCATGGTGGCAGGAGAGATGTAGAGAGAGAGAGACTTGCCACATGTTCCTCCTGGGCTCAACAGTCCAACTCCAGGTTCTTAGTCATGTCACCTGGATACCTAGATGCTGGAATAATGTGTTCCAGAAACTTCCAAATCTGTTCCAGTCTAGGTGGTCCTCACATCATATCCAGTCACATCCAACATGAGACCTCAGGCCTTCTGGGAACACTCAGGTCTCCCTAGAGGAACATCAGGGGACCAACACATGCCCCTTCATGCTCAGCTTTCTGCACATGGTCAGGGGCTGCCTTCTTGACTCTTCCCCAAGACCTGTGAGACTCCGCTGGGCACAGCCATGGAAGTCAGCCCCAGGGACCAGGAGGGCCCAGCCAGGGATGGGACATACCACTTCTACTCCACAGCTTGCTCTCCCAGGCCTGGAGCTTGCATCCTGAAACTTCTCGGCCCCCATCCACTTGGGACGGGGGTGCCAGCCCAGGCCGGGTGGAGGCGAGTCCAACAACCAGGAGTTTCCTTCTCTGGGTCTATTTTATCGTTACTTTAGGGTGAGATAATGGCGTTATTGCTGAGTGAGGCAAGTTGCAGTTAACTTGTTTGAGCCTCATCTCAGTCTATAAAGTGGGGGTGCCTGCCCAGCAGATGTAAGATTGAACATCAGTGCCCTTATTATTGTTGTTGTTGTTCTTTTGTTATTATTATACTCTACAGCAACAGAGATTCTAATTCAAGTCCTTTGCTGTCCTGGCCAGATCTTCTGACCTGAGTCCTGGCAAACAGGGAAGCTCAAATCCCCAGCCCTGAATGATTGAGGAGGGAGGAGGCTAGGCAAGCTCCTCCCTCAAGATTAAGACTGGTCACCTGTTGGGGGCACGATTGCCCTGGGGGTGCCCATAGGGATAAAGCTAACATTTGCAGGTGCCTGCTTGGTTCCACTTTACATGTATAGCTCATTTAATCCTTCTAACCGCATGAGGTAAGTACTATTATGATCCCCATTTTACTGAGAAGAAATCGGAGCACTGAAGGATAAGTCATTGTCCAAGATCACACAGCATGTACATGGCAGAGCCGGGGTTTGAATCCAGGTAGTCTGTGCTTTCAACTCACTTTGCTGCTCTGCTGGGCTTCTTAAACTTCATGTCTGTGGCTTCTGTGACCCCCTGTCTTGGCCTCCACACAAGGACAAGGGACATAACCTTGCTTTGGGGGCAGCAGGACGAAGCATCCGGGAAGCTGGGTTGTCCTCCGCAGTCAGGTCTCGGTTGGGACTGCCAGGACAGAGTAAGTAATGGCAGGTGCTGAGGGGTGCGGGTCAGGGTGCAGGGCCAGGGGCAGAGGCAGACTGGGGCCAGGGCCTGAAGTTAGAGGAGGGCAGACCAGAGAGAGGTCTGTCTAAGTCTCAGGCCTCCCAGTAGTTCCAGCATCCCTGGGCCTCTGAACCTCTGGACCCAGCTCACACTCCCCCTTCATGCCTGGGGCCAGGCATGCGGAATGCAGTGGGAATGATTCCTCAGAGGAACCCAGCAAGGCCTCTCAGGACAGGGTCCACGGTTCTGTGGCCCCAGGGCCCTGCTCAGCCAGGCTTGATGCCCACAGCAGGTTCTGAGAGGAAGCCTTCCCTGCTGACCCTTGTTGGGTGCAGGGCTCAGGAAAAGCGACTGCTCTTCTGGAAGTGGGCCCTTCTCCTGGATCCCTCAGAGGTTCTGACTCGGGTACCAGAGAGTATGTGAACACGGGACGCTGAGCTGCTTTCTGGCCCAGAACTGCAGGCAGGGCAGCCCCTCCAGGTGGGCACTGGGGAGCAGGAGACCAGGTGACAGGCCCAGCTCTTCCCTTGGAGGCCAGGATGTGCCCTCAGTCCCTTAGTTCTGCTGCTCAGGGTCCTTCTCCAGGATCCCAGGCTGGGGCGGCCTCTGCTGCTGTCCCAGACACAGGGACTTCCAGGCCTGCAAGGGTCAGACGTCTCTGGACTCAGAACAATTGCTGGGGTTGGGGCTGTGTGCACTGGGCTCCCCTGCCGTGTCCTCCTCTGCTAACAAGCCCTTAGATGTCAGTGTTTCCCTGCTCAGTCCTCAGCACTGCCTCAGCTCCACCCCTCCCCTGATGATCTTATTCCCTCCCAGGGTCTCAGTGACCCTATTACTAACTGTTCCCAAACCCACATCTGCAGACCAGACTTCCCCCTGTGAATCCAGCTGCCCCTGGGCATCTCCCCCTGGAAATCTCACATCCGGCACTGAATCCTCATTCCCCAAAAACCTGCTCCTCCTCAATGTGCCCAGCCATCCAGCCAGAAATGAGGGCATCTTCGTTGACTCCTTCCTACTCCCCACATCCAGCAGTCAGACCCCACTCCCTTCCTATCTCTGTAATCTGTTTCCTGTGCCACACCTTAGTCAGGTCTTATCACCTCTCTCTGGGTCTCTCTCCTCCAACCCACCCCAGTACAGCATCCAGAATGACTTTTCTATCATGATTGTCACTCCTTTGCCAAAAATGTTCACAAGTGAGCCTCAGTTGCTCTCAGGTTGAAGTGCAAGCTCCCTACCTTGATACCAAGGTGGGGTGGCCACCTGGTTTATGACAACTTCCCCTCGTCTGGGAATGACCTGAAACAAACAGGGGGACTCCCAAAATCGCATACGTACTACAGCAGATTGCCCTCACCGGTGATAGCTGGTGGACCAGTGATGGATACTTGACCCAAACTGGGCCAGTCACATTCTGTCACCTGAGTACTTGAAACCTGGAATCAAGAGTCTGGGAGTCCCAGGCCTGGAGTCTCATTCATGCCCATAAATGACAGAGGTACTCTGCTGGGACCACCTGCTTCCTGGCCTCCTGAGTCGGCTGTCCCTTTAATTCTCCTCCAAAACTCCCTTCCAATGCTTGCAACCAAAAGCAGCTAATTCAAGTCTTTCCCTTTTTTTTGAACTGGAAGGAATCTTAAAGATCATCTCTCTTAACCCCTCTTTTTTTCACAGATGAGGGAACTGAAGCCTCCAAAATGAAGGTGCTCTCCCGAGGACCACCAGCTGCTGGCTGACGGAAGTGGCAGCGGAAGCCCCGTGCTGCTGCCTCTGCCCCAGCGCAGAGCACGTGCTCCCCGGGCACCGGCAGCAGTTAGGGTCGGGGCGGGCACTGTGAGATCTACACGTCCTTCCTACCTCCCGAACCGTGTGCCTTTGCCAGATCCTGGGAAACGACTGAAGGGAAATTAACAACAAAGTTGATTTGTGTGTGTGCGTGTGTGTGTGTGTGTGTGTGTGTGAGGAAGACTGGCCCTGGGCTAACATCCGTGCCCATCTTCCTCTACTTTATATGTGGGACACTGCCACAGCATGGCTCGATGAGCTGTGCGCAGGTCCGTGCCCGGGATCCAAACTCGCGAACCCCAGACTGCTACAGCGGAGCACGAGAACTTAACCACCACCCCACAGGGCTGGCCCCAAGTCTCTCCCTTCTCAAAACTGCCTCCTTTGCCCCAGTCTCTCCAACAGCAAGTATGACTCTCTCCTTCTCCTCTTTGTCAAGATTCCTGATAAATTCTTCCACGGTCGACTCCACTTGCCTTTCATCTACTCACTCCTCAGCCCGTAGTAATTCAACAAATATTTATTTAGCATCCGCCGTGTGCAAGACTCTGAGGAACAGAATGAGGCATGGCCTGTGGCCTCAGGGACCTCGCAGTCTAGCTGTGCCTCTGGGGACAGGCACAGTAAGGGGTAAGTGCAAATTGTAATAAAGACTAAAATAAAACGTGGCGAGGGAACGAGAGAGAAACTCACAGGGTGTGATGAGAGATGGGCTCAGGGAAGGTGTCCTGGAGGAGGGGCTGTCCGAGCAGTGTCTTCCAGGGATGAGCAACAAGGAACATATTTATGTACAACTTCCAATTCAGGAAAATAAAAATGAGTGACTTCCGGCCCCATGGCATAATGGTTAAGTGCGCGCGCTCCACTGCTGGTGGCCCAGGTTCGGATCCCGGGCGCGCACCGACGCACCACTTGTCAAGCCATGCTGTGGCGGCATCCCATATAAAGTGGAGGAAGATGGGCACGGATGTTAGCCCAAGGCCAGTCTTCCTCAGCAAAAAAAAGAGGAGGATTGGCATGGACATGTGCTCAGGGCAGATCTTCCTCATAAAAAAAAAAAGAGTGACTTCTTTTTACTTTTATTTAAAATGAAACTAGATTTATTAACACCTATGAAAAACATAATATACTACCACCATTTTGATTACCCATTTTATTGATAGGAAAAAATTTCAACAGGGAACTTGGCACACTGGTTTTCACCCGCTAAAATGTTATCATCTGGGCACATCTGAAATGCTGGCAGGCAGGCAGTAGGAGTCTATTGGCCAGGGATTTTCCTCACTGTCATAGAGGATCTGGAAGAATGGAAGGGCAGTCTAGGCCAGGGGGAGGGTGGGAGCAAAGGTGCACAGAGAAAGAATGTGGGAGGAGAGGAGAATAACAAATAATTAAAGTAGGGAGTAAAGTGGGGAAAGGCAAGAAAAGAAACCATGAAGTTGATTTCGTAGTCAGGCGCTTGGGAGGCTTTATCCTGAGAACAGCAGGGAGCCATTGAGGGTTATTGATTAAGAGAGGGTATTGTCACCTTAGTGGCTAGTATCGGGGAAGGGAGGATTGCTCTACCCCTAGTCAGCCCACAAGCTCTAGCCACCTCTGTCCCTGAGGCTTATGGCTCCCGTGTAGTAACCACTATCCTTAAGCTGTCAGGCATGGGGTGGGGTATCCGGAGAGTGGGGCTCAGAGGGAGAAGCGGTCCGTGCTACCCTCTGTCTCCAGCCCGCCAGCCCCAGGCTGAATGTAATTGTCCTCAATGAAGCCATCATCATCCTCGTCTTCACCCACCTCCGGGTGGACCCCCTTCCCTGTCCTGGGCAGCTGGTGGTGCTGGTAGCCGGCGCGGTATTTGCGGCAGAGGTGGCATTTGGCAGCAAGTGCGATGAGGAGAGAGAGGACCACAGCTCCCAGCACAACCCCAACCAGCACAGGCCATGCCCGGGCCCCGCTGCCCGGTACAGGAGACATGGCTGATGCCGTGGGGAGCTGCGAGGGGCCCACCAGGGCTGCAGAGAAAGGGACAGCATTATAGATGGGCCCTCGTGGGCTCCCTGGGGAAACCAAGGAGTGGGGGCAGGGTCCTTCCCCCACCCCCAGGAACGCACCATCACCTCAGCCTCCCCCCACTGTTGCTCACTCTGGTTTGCCTCACTCATGGAGGGGCCGGAAGACACCGGTGAGCCCTGGCCTCTGCCAGAAGAGCCCCAGCTCCGCGGAGACCTCCAGATGCCAGGCAGCCCCAGGACACAGAGACCTGGAACATACACATACACGTAGGTGTCAGGGACGGCCACAGGGCACACCTTCCAGGCCACACTCACAGCCATGTTAGGGCATTCACAAACTCTGGAGACTGGACAGCTAACCATGACCAGTTGTGCTCAGGAGAGAAACAAGCTGGGCACACGGAAATTGGCTATTTGTAAGGGAACCTTGTAGGGTCCAGCTCTGGGAGCAGTTGAAAAAAATGAATCAATGCTGGAACTCACTAAGCACTACTTATGATTCAGGCACGAGGTAATGTGCTCATAGAACCCCGAATGCAAGTATAAACATCATCCCTTCTCAATAGATGAGGACTCTGAGGCCCAGAAGGGTGAACTAACTCAGCCAAAGTCCCAGGACTTGAACCCAGGTCTCTAATACCAGGGTCCAGAGCCCAGTCTACTGCACCGCTTGGTAGGCTGAGGATGGGAGGTGGGGGCAGAGGCAGTCCTAGCTCCCAGAGGTTGGACAACAGCAATTGCTCAGAGCTAACGAGCCAAAGTGGAGACCACACATGGAGGACAGTGCCAGTCCCCACCCAGTGCAGGGGGCCCCAGACACAGCCAGGCAGCCCTGGCCCCTCTGCCCTTGAGTCAGGAGCCCCTGCTCCCTCACCTCTACCCTCAGCCTGTCAGGCATGTCCCTTGTCCATTCACCTCTGCCTCAGAGGGAAGCTGGATTCAGGGAGTAGCCAAATGCAGGTCTCCTGAATCAGGAAATGATCTGGATGAGAATCACCAGGGCCAGGGAGGATCTAGAGGAGGAGCATCTGAACTAAGGGAGTATCTGAGGGAAGATCATCTAGGCACGGGAATTCCTGACGGAGGAGTGTCTAGGGAAGCAACACTGAATCTGGGGAGTGTCTAGAGGAAGAGCACCTAAGGTAGGAAAGTACCTGCTGGAGGAACAGCTGGGGCTGGAGATTATTTCCAGGCGGAGCACCTCAATCTGGGTGGAGTATCCAAGCTGGGAAAACACCTAGGAGAGAAGCACTTGGTTTAGGAGGACACTTGGCCATATTCTTAATGACACCCTCCCCATCACCTCCAACCTGTCACCAAGCCCCATGGGTTCTTCCTCTAAATAGCTCTGGAATGGCTCTGCCCCTCCTCTGCTCTCCAGTGCCACTGCCCAGGCCAAGCCACCTTCATCTCCACCTCGGCTCTTGCAGTAACCTCCTAACTGGTCTCTCCTCACCTCTAGTCCATCCCCAGAAGGATGGGCCTAAAGCCCAAATCTGACCTATCGCCTGCTTAAAATTCCTACAAGAGCTCCCCAGGCCCTCAGGGCTGCCTGCAGATTCCTCAGATTGTCCTCATCCTCAGAGGCCTTGCAATCCAGCACATGGCCCTCGGGCCAAATTCTTCTTCCTCTTCTCCACAATGCCCCCTACCCCATGCTGCACACACGCATCCCCCACCTCGCCCACCCTCTGGTTCCCCAGCCACCCCCTCCTCAGTTTTTTGAGTACCCCATCCCTCCAGGCCAAATCAGACCATACCTGCCTGTGAGGCTGTTCCAAGACCCCCTGGAGGACCCCCTTCACTGGCCTACCCAGGCAACTACCAGTCAGAATTGGCCAGTTACAAGATGGGCAGTTCCCTGGGGGCAAGGACTGGGCTGATCAATCGGTGCCCTGAAGCTGGCAGAGAGCTTGGCCCTCAGCCACTCAGTACGTGAGTGATCCTGAAAGGGAGGGCTCCACAGTGAATGGGGGGCGGGGGGAGGGAAAGTTAGAAAGGAGAGGTAAAGCATTCACTCACTCATTCAATAGCAAACATTCATTGGGTGCTTACTGTGGGCCCCACACTAGGCACTGTTTCCTCAAAAAATAAGATTTTGGAGGCCAGCCAGCAGCATAGTGGTTAAGTTTGCGCACTCCGCTTTGCTGGCCCAGGGGTTAGCGGGTTGGGAACCTGGGAACAAACACACATACTGCTCATCAAGCCATGCTGTAGTGTCCCACATACAAAATAGAGGAAGATGGCCACAGATGTTAGCTCAGGGACAATCTTCTTCACCAAAGGAAAAAAAAAAAGATTTTGTTAAAATGAATTGAATTCAATTTGAAGTTTCTAAGATTTTACTCCTTCCTTTCCTGCCGTCCCAGTGAATTCTTCCCAAGGACACACACAACCTCTGATCGTCACACACACAACCCCCACCCTGATTCCTAACTCCTTCCTGCTCCCAGGAGCCCTCAGGGATCCATGGATTCCCCCTCCCCAGCCCCCAATGCCTTCCCCTCTGCTCCCCACCTGTAGGAACTGTGTACAGTCCGTGGAGGAGCTTCCGGCTGGGGCCGCGGGACCTGGCCAGGTGGGCGGGTTGGAGCTGCCGCCTGCCTCACCTGGAGACGCAGCAGGCGGGGCCACAGCCGCAGGTGTGGGCGGAGGGCTCGGCAGCAGGCGGTGCCTCCACCAGGGAGGACTCACTGTTCATCTCCCCCGGCTTCTGCCGAGACTCCTAAAGTGCAGGCCTCGCCCCACCCCTAGTGCTGGAGGGAAGGGCACAGCAGGCAGCCAGAGAGGGGTCCAGCAGGCCCTAGAAGGGGCAGACACCTGGCAGGCAGCTGCTCAGGCTGGCGGCCCTGATAAGGAAGTGAATTTCCGGTGACAGGTACAAAGTCCAAAGTTGAAGAGAGAGCTTTGCAGGCCTGTGAGGGCGATGGGCCAGAACGGGGGTAGGGGGAGGGCACTCTTCCCAGGCAAAGCCAGAGGGACCAAGGACACTCAAGTTGCCTGTAAAAAGCGTGTGTAAGCCTGTGTGTGTGTGTAAGCCTGTGTGTGTGTGTCTGTGTATGGGGAGGATGTGGAGGTCAATGGAGAGTGTGAGTTCAGAAGACTTTTGGGGCGTGTATATGTGCCCTTGGGGATTATCCTGTATATGTGTGTTTACCTGGATAGAGGGTTCAAGCCTTCATCTGGATCTCGAGGATCCTGTGACCCACAAAGCTAGGCTCTGAACCTCTCCCTTTTGTGTTACTCCTCGTCCCCAGGCCTACTGCCTGTTTGTCCTAAGACCCAGTTCAGGAGTCACCTTCCCTGAGCCCTTGGCTACCCCAGCAAGCCCCGCCTTCTCCATGCCCAGAGCACCCTCTATCACAGCATTTCTTTATTGTCTTGTAGTTATTTCTCCCTGTGCTGCCTCCCCCATTAGCCGGGAGCTCTCCCGGGGCGGGGCCAGGTTTCTGCAGTCGCTGGGCTCCCAGCACCTGGCTCAGGGCAGCCTCTCAGTCAATATCCAAGGGGGGATGTGTTGCCTGAGCTAAGCCACCCAGGCAGAAGAATTCACAGGGACCTGCAGGGCACTGCCAGAGCAAGGGCCACGGCCAGGGGTTGCACGTGGGGCATGGTAGAACCGCGCTGGCAAGTTGAGGCCAGGTCAGGCAGGACCTTGACTATCTTAGCACGGAGTCTGAACTCTCACCGCCAATGGCTGCTTCCTACCTCCCTCACCTTGGCTGGCGCCTACACTCCGTACTCTCTGTTCCACCCACACTAAACTGTTCTCTATTCCTAGCACCCACCAGGCTCTCACCTGCCAGGCTTTGCACGTGCTGTTCCTGGACCCCTGCTTTCCCCCAGCCCTCACCTCCAGCCCCTCCCCCCACATGTCCATCTCCCACCTGGCTGATTCCTCCTCCCAGGCCTACTCATCACTCAGGCCCCAGCTTAGGTGCCCCTTTATCTGATCGCCTTCCCTGTGCTCGCTAGTGTCTGGGTCCCTCCTCCCCTCGTCTGTGCCCCACCCCCACTGCAGACCCTGGCCCTTCTCCCCGACAGCCCTGATGCCTGGTATTGTGATTTTCTCTGTGTTTGGTGGGGTCCCCTACGAGCCTGTAAACTCTGCGGGTAGCGTCTGTGTCTGTCTTGTTCCCCTCATGTCCTCAATATGTAAAACGGCAACAATAAATATTCCTGAAAGAATGGAATGAGAGGCAAGTGGATATTATCCTGGATGGGACAGTGAGGAGTCAAGGAAGGCTGGGGTTTTGCTTTGATTTTGAAGCAAGGAAATCATAGGGTTTAAAAGATATTCACTGAACACCTACCACATCCAGGCACTGTGCTTGGTTCTTTTTTAACTGAGGTATTCATGTAACATAGCCTAATTCACATAACAAAAATTCACCATGTTAGCCATTTTCAGTGCACAATTTAGAATGTTGTGCAACCATCACCATATCTAATTCTAAAACATTTTTATCACACCAAAAAGACACCCCCTACCCAGTAAGCAGTCACTCATTTCCTGCTCCCACCAGCCTCCAGTAACTGCTAATCTGCTTTCTGTCTCGATGGATTTGCCTATTCTGGATATTTCATGCAAATGAAATCATAATTGTGCCAACTTTTTAATGAATTATTTCATTTAATCCTTATAACCGTACTATGAGGTAGATGTTAATTATTCCCTCAACAGATGAAGAAAATGAGGCTGTGAGAAGGTAATTTGCATGAAGTTCCACAGAAGAAAACAAGTCAAGGTCTGCACATCCATCAGTCAGTCATTTATTCCACAAATATTTATTGAACACCCACAAGAGAGCCACAGCCAGCCCATAGGGCAGGCATTGCAAAATAGCAGAAGGCAATCAGCTGGATTGGATGCCCCCACAGTACGGAGAGCAGAGAGCAGGCTGGATATCAGCACCCACTGGCCCCTCAGCCAGGATCTCTGGTGCAGTGAACAACCTTTACAACCTTCCATGGCAGCCCTGGCAACCATGTGGTAGTTCTGTGCTAGCTGCTGGAGACAGAGTTCCTGCCACCATACAGCTTTCATTCTGGTGGGGAAGACAGACAATACACAAGTAAAGAAATAAATAAGATTATTTCAGACAATGGTGAGGGCTATGAAGAAAATAAAATCGCTGTATGTGATAGGGAGTTGTGGAGGGGGGCTGCTACCTTACACTAGAAGGTCAGAAAAAGAGGAGACTCACTGAAGAGGGGATGTTTGGGCTGAGATCTGAATAAGAGTGAGACAGCAATCATGCTATCTCTGGGAAGAGCGTTCCAGAAAGAGGGAACAGCCAGGACAAAGACTGAGAGGCAGGAGCATGGCTGGCTTGTTTGAGCAACAGCGAGGAGGCAGGCTGGATGGAGTACAGTAGGTGGGGAGAGATGGAGGAGCTGCAGCGGGGGCCTGTCAGGGGCCAGCTCACGGGTGGCCTCAGCGGGCGCTTCCCTTGGGCAGACGGGAGGCCATTGATGATCTGAGCAGAGGGCTGAGGACTGACCTTCTTTGGCTTCTGTGTGAAGAATGGACGGGAGGAGGCCAGGGCGGAAGCAGGGAGGCCAGCTAAGAGGCTGTTGCCGTCAACCAGGAGAGAAAGAACGTGGCCTCAGGTAGCCAGGTAGAAACGGGGAGAAGTGCTCAGATTCTGGATATATTTTGAAGGTGAAACCTACACGATTTGCTGACCAGATGTGGGGTTTGAGAAAAAGAAAGGAACCAAGAGTAACTCCAGAGTTACGACCTGATCAACTGGTCGGATGGAGCTGTCGTTCACTGAGGTGGGAAGACTCGGAAGGGGCGGCTGTGGGAGGGCCATCAGGACCGCAGTGGGGGACCTGTTAGCTGTGAGGTGCCCGGAGACATTGGGGGCACACCACGTGGGCAGTAGCATAAGCAGAGCCTGCGTGCAGTGGAGGGAAGGGCAAGAAATACCCAAGGTCAGGGAGGGAGGCGCAGAGGAGAGGAGACTGAGGAGGGCCGACTGGTGCGGGAGGAGGCAGACACGTGCGAGAGGTGTCCTGGAGGCCAGAGAAGAAAGCATGTGAAAGGCGAGGGCTTGGTCAGCTACGCCAGATGCTGGCGGTAGGTCAGCTTAGACATGGACTGAGAATTGACTTTGAAATTGGCCATGGGGAGGTCACTGGTGACCTTGACAAGAGCAGTCTCCTGATGTGTTGGGGACAAATGCCTGACCTGCGTGAGTATGGGAGCAGAGGAAGTGGAGACAACTCCTTCAAGGAATTTTGCTATAAAAGGAGCAGAGAAATGGAGCAGACACTGGAGGTGGGTGTGCAATCAAGGGAGGATTTGTTTTAAGGCTAGGAGCTGTTAGACCACGTGTGTGTGCTGGCCAGAGTAATCCAGGAGAGAGCGGAAATTGATGATTCGGAAGGAAGAGAGCAGGGACAGCGGGAGTGTGAAGTCCTTAAGGCATTGAGGGGAGTGGGGTCGAGTGCACAGTTAGAGAATTAGCCTTGGGCAGGAGCAGGGAGAGCCCCTTGGAGGCAGGTGGCATGTACACAGGGAAATGATGCGAGCCTGAGGGAGTTTTCTTCCAATGGCTTCTGTTTTTCCAGAGAAATTGGAAGCAATGTCGTCAGCTGAGAGTGAAGAATGGGGAGGGGGTGCTGGGGTTCGAGGCAAGAAGAGAAGGTGAATTCGTCATTCTGGAGCTTGGGAGAGAGAGTGGCCTTGCCAGTCGTGTGATGGGCTTGCCAGGCTGCATCAAGGCACGCCTTGAAGTGAGCGGCTAATGTAAGGTGAGGTTAGGGTGGTCGAGTGCTTTTGTCTTCCAGCCACTCCAAGTGCAGGTGGGGAGAAGATAGAGAGGGATTTCACCAGGGCTGGGGATTGGTCTGGCAAATCTGATCAAGCCAGAGAGAGGCAAGGGAGCGGGCTGTGGGCCAGGGAGTGGTTGCAATGATGGCTGGGCAATCTGGGCCCGTCAAGTGAGGATGGGGGAGGGGACTTGGGAGGAGCCCTGAAAAAGGGATAGGATTGATGGATTTAGGAGTGCTTGCTGGTGTACCAGAGAGAATAAGTTGAAAAAATAAAATCTGCAGATGTGGCATACGGAAATGGAGGCCCAGGGTATGCAGCTCTTGATAAAGACAGGAGCTTTAGTTCACATCCTAAGCCCTAGGATGTGAACCTGGAGTGCTCCTGAGGTGGGGTCTACAGATCAACGGTGGTTCTACTGTTATCTGAAGCATGTTGACTTAACTTTCTGAATCAAGGTCTAACGATAATGTGCTAATAGCTCTAGTAATAAATAGCAGAGGCAGGATTCGAACCCAGGTCTTCTGATTCTAGGTCCAACACCTTTCCAGTTATATCCCAACTATATCTCTGCTCCTATGAGTAAAATTTACCATCTAGGTATTCGATTCTTCAGAATCATTTGCAGTGACAGCAATCACTTCCTTTCACAGATTTGATTATATTTCCCAAAGGAAACTCAGGGTGCTGCTACTAGGAGAACAGGGAATGGATGCTGAGCAGGCAGAAGAACAAGGTGTCCCGGTCCCCACCCTCCACCCACTCCCTTCTCCATCTGAGCCAATCCCTCCCTGTGGCAGACCTGGGAGTCTTAGCCTTGG